AAGATCTCCAGGTGGAGTTGCTATGATTTCTGGTACTAGGCTGGCTAGTATTTAAAACATCCCTGCTCACAAGCACCCTGGAAGCATCCAAAAATGCTGATGATTGTTCTACTTTTAAAAGCATCAAAGATTTAACCATTATCAGGCCAAATCTAAATGAAACCAGAAACACAAAGAGAGCTGTGATTTGAAGCTCTTGGCCTTGGGGGCATTTGCTGGCACTTCTGAGCTCCAACTTTTACAGCTTCAGGAAGCTCTGGGGAAGAAGATGACACCTCGAGACCACCCAACATGAGAAGTCTAGTATAAAAGTGTGACCCATGAGGCTGCCCCCTTCCTCCCCAGGGGACAACAAAGGAAAGTTGCCTCTGAGGTGAGTGAGTGGGGAGGGGTGGGGCGGGTGGGGAGCAGTACAATCACGGAGAAGTTGTACCAACAAGCCCACCCTCAGCAGTATTTGCAGCCAAATAGACAAAACATCAAGCTGTGAATTTAGTGGCTTCAGGTGGCAGAGAAAAGTACAGGATCCTCTCTGAAGAAACTGCCTCATTCCAAACCTCAAAGAATTCTCACAAGTAACTTTCTTAGGGCAAGAAGTAACACAGTTTAAAAAAAAAAAAAGCAAGCACACCAGAACAAAGGCATCATGAGTGAGAAGTGGCAGAAACAAAGAAAGTCAGGTTCCAGGCGTTCATTTAGAACCTCCAAGGCCTATTGCAAAAGAACCTGATAGACCACATCTCACCACACCAAGACATTTTGCCCCAAAAAAGAACAGACCGTTAAAGCAGAGAATTATCTCCAACAACCAGATTCACATTGGTCGACTGGTAGCTTGGTTCCCTGAAATTTAAGATTGTTGGAAAATTAAAGGTGTGCTTTGGGTGGTTCTTCTGACCCATTCTTTGTTCCCCTGCTGTTTTTCACCTCTACCTAAATCATGAGAGAAACTTATATTTCCAACTGCCAGGGTCCTCTGCTGCTCCTCAAATGATCAACCCACCTCCTAACTTTCAGGAACGTGCCAGACAGCCTGCTCTTAGTGCCCACACTCAGGATACCCTCAACATTAATTTGGCTGAAGTTCATTCCGTGGAAACTAATGAGTTTTCTGGTAATCTGAACCAGTTTGGCTAATGGTGATCTAAAACCATTTTTAACTACCTCAAAATCTTGACATTTTTTTCTGAATAACCATTCCTCTTCAGTAACACTGTCCAGGACCCCAGGTGATCTGGCTTATAGTCCCTTCCTCTATTTTCTTGGCCCTGACAACTTTCACAAGCACTCGCGTCAACCCCCCCACAACAGCACTGCCTTCCCCGTACCTCTCAGAACCAAGCAAGGCTCCCTGCTCTCTTCCGGCCATCCACCTCAGCTCAGCGCCCTTTACCTCGCTGCTGCTGAAGCGACTGTGTACTCCATTATCCTGCCCCTTCATATCTCCTCATCTTTCTTCATTTCCCTACCCAGCCTGAGCTCCTGACCTGGCACTGCAGCACTTCCCCGCTGGGGGAATCTGTGCTGGGCGTGCTAACCTCCCAGCTGAGACAGGAATACTAAAATGTAAGGCAGGAGGACTCCAGGCAGAACAGTAAGCAGGTACAAAGACCCTGAGGTAAGGATAAGCTTAGCAGGTCCAAGAAACATCAAGAAAGCCAGTGCCCTGGATAGAAGTGAGTGAAGGACGTGTGGCAGGAGAAAAAGATATAATACTAAATAGATGTAAACACGTGAATACACAGGTTGGGGATGGGCACCAGCATATGTTCAGCAAACTTGTATTTCCTTTCTTTCCGTATTCTGTGGTATCCAAGCACTTCCAAGTTTCTAGCATGGAAAACACATTCAAATGTGGCCAGATCATGCAGGGACAAAAGACTAAATAAGACAAAGCCGTGGACTTCACCCCAATCTCATGGAAAGCTGGTAGAGGGTTCTGAGCAAGGAAATAGGTAGTCTGAAGCATATTTTTAAAAAATCTTTTGGGCGGAATTCCCTGGTGGTTAGGATTCCCAGCTTTCACTGCCGGGAGCCTGTGTTCAATCCCTGGTCAGAAAACGAAGATCCTGCAAGCTGCATGGGATGGCCAAAAAATCATTTTGGCTACTGCTTAAAGAAAGATCCATGGGAGTGAGACACATTAAGAAGCTACTGCAGGGACAGAGCCTCAGTCTGGAATAGTGGCCCTCGTGGCAGTTGAAATAGAGAGGAATGAGTGAATAGAGATATACTTTGGACACAGAGCTCACTGGACTTGCTGGTAAACAATTTACGTCTCTCTGTCCCAGTCACATCCCTAGAGTCTCCAGCTTCCCACTGACAGTGTCTGCATCTCTGGCCTGAGCCTTTACCCCAGAACCTCAGAAGTCTCTCTGCTAGGTACCCACAGCAGGCAGGAAAGCCTGGGGGGCTAACGTACCCCTGCCACTCCCACTAAGACCCTAAGTCAAATACTCTTCTTTCTTTTTCCATTTTTATTTATATATTTGCTTTTGGCTGCACTCGGTCTTCATTGCTTCATGCAGGCTTTCTCTGGTTACGGAGAGCAGGGGTCACTCTCCAGTCGCAGTGGCTTCTCACTGTGGTAGCTTGTCCTGTTGCAGAGAACGGGCCCTAGGGCGCACAGGCTTCAGTAGTTGTAGCATGTGGGCTTAGCTGCCCCAAGGCATGTGGAATCCTCCCGTACCAGAGACTGAACCTATGTCTCCTGCATTGCAGGTGGCTTCTTAACCACTGGATCACCAGGGAAGTCTATAAGTCAGTTACTCTTAAGTTTGACATGTCAATCCCCCAGCTCTCTTGTGCCTTGAGCTGGCTGTTCCCAAGCTGTGTTTCCTACATTTCCCCATGAAACTGTGCTCAGGTCTTCCACTGTGCTAGCTGGCTTTGTGCTCACCTGCTACTGGCCATCTTTCCCTGGCACAGGGCCAACCCCATGCCCTTCTGCAGTCCTCAAGTGATGAGGACCCAGGTTGCCTGAATGGCTGACTTCATTCTTCTCTCTTCTATCTGGACAGATGTGCCTGTCCTGGAGGAATCAAAATGCGTGACCTACTTAAAACATCTCCACCTCCCAACACCAGATCTGAAACAACCACATCTCTATTTCAGGCAGTCTCCAAATGCCCTCAGAGGAATGAGACCAGGGTGCAGGTCCGGGGCATATGAACTCATCAGCCACAGGAATCCACCACTTCTGGCTGGATTAGAGGACTGGCAGCAGAGACACAATGAAAGCAAGAAGAGTAATTACTCAACATGAAAACAGTATTGATCTTTGGAGGGCTGTGAGGGATTTTTCCCCCTTCTCCTTGACTATACTTTTCAAATTATCTAAAACATACAATGTATATTAAAAATAGGGTATTCCTAAGATACTTGTGAATTATGAAGGGGAAAACTATAACTTTACAATGGAGAAGCCTTGCAGACTTCTTCCATGGTAAGGTAACAGCTCTAGTAATGGTGCAAGCAGACCTTTCTGCCTCCTTGGGTAGAGAGCCCTGTGAGATCATGAAAGGATGTCAGGCAACCCAAATTCAGGGACTTCTGACCAAATAACTGGCTTATATTCTTCCAAAATGTCTAGGTCATAAAAGACAAAGCAGATTGAAGAAATACTCCATGATGAGGGGAAATTAGAGAACCAACAGCTAACCCAAGATGTGATCCAGAAAAAGACATCTCTGGGGCAATGGGGGAAATATGAATAAGGTCTGCAGATGAACTATTACTGTGTCAGTGTTAACTGCTGGATTTGATCTTTAGACTGGTCGTGATTTTAGGTAATACAGACTGAAGGCTTGAGAGGTAAAGGGACATTGTATCTGCAACTCAGTCTCAAATGCTGTTACTGAGGTAATCTGGGTGAAGGGCATATGGGAATTCATTGTGTAATTTTTTCACATTTTTATAAGCTCAAATGTATTTCAAAATAATAAGCTAAAAAATAAAAGTGTACTGAATTAAAAAAAAAAAATTTAAAGAACTTTTCAGAAAGAAAATAAGTCCACATTCAGAGCCTGTGCTGTGAACCCACAGGATAGATTTTTGCTCTCAGCAAAGTTCCCAGCCCCGGGAAACAAAGGCCCCGCCCAGCTCTCCGGAGCTGTCAGAGCGCCAGACACACACAAAGCGGCCTCCGAGGGGCTTTACTGAGAGATAAGTGCTGATAAGGCCTGCAGGTCATCTTCGTCAGCCACTGGCCCCCCAGCTAGCTGAGAGGAGGCCAGCCCTTCCAGAGCTCCTTCCGACATAAGCCAGAGCAGAGCGAATTTCTTTTAAGTCCAAAGCTGCAGCTGGCCTCCCCCCTGGGTATGAGCAGCCCCGCGGCGGGGTGCCTGCCAGAGTGGGGGTCCTGCTGGCGCCCCTTCCCAGAGAGGCCAGGAGGTCACAGTCAGAGTCTCCTAATTTACAGGGATGGCGTTCTGTTTGCATCTGTTCGGGAAACTGAACAAAATCTCCACATCACGCTTAGTAAAAAGCTACAAGAACTACCCGGCGACCTAAACGTGTATCCCTCTCATCCAGTCCAGTGCAGAATGGACCCGGGAGAACATCTCCTTTGCCCTCCTTTGGGCAACGCCTGCCAGGCCTGGGTGGATGCGGCAGCTTGCTCAAGCGGCTGCTGACTTCTGACGCTGCTTGTCATAGGACAAAGGACAGATCGCCTGGGGACCAAATCCTCCATAACAGCCTTGAATGGTTTTCCAGGCCAGCCTGACCACACTGCACTTGTCTCAGGGAAGGGTTACGCTAAAGCAGAGTCAAGTCTGTGCTTTGTATCCCATTCAGCAGAAGCTGGAACTGGACGTCTGGGTAGGACCTTGGACAGATAGACCCCAGCTAGGTCAGTAAGAGCAAACGGAGGTTGTGCTGACAAGAGATGCAAAACGCTGCCCTTCCCGACTTTCATTGGTGGTGGTGGTGGTGGGAAGCTCATTATCCAGCCCACAGGTTTGGGTTTGTTTTCTTTTTAACCTCTGGAAGATGTACCAATGAATCAAACCCGTTCCACCACCTTGCAGTCATCCCGAGAAAGGAGAATTGAAAGAATCCTGCGGCTGAAGAAGTCTCTAGTGCCAGGGAACTGCTTCGGAGAGGAAGCCCCTGGGACGCGATCATGGAGGAACAGTGCCCTCGTGCGGCAGCTCTGGGCACGACCTGCGGGGCCGGCATTCTCTCCCTTGGCCCTCGCTCCTCGCCTCGGCCTGGTAAAGGTGTGGAAGCTAAACTGTAACCATAGCTTGCATGTATCACAATTAAGAATGGTGTATGGGCGATGGGTTAACCTGAAGCTGGGAAGAACACTCCGGACAGGGAGTTACAGCTGTAGGCTTAAGGTCTGGCTCTAGAACTCTGGGCAAGGTGCTGAAATTCTCTGTTCTCAGCCAAGGGAGGAAAAGAGTTTAAAGCTGTGTTGTTTGCATCACAGGTTTGTTATAAATATTACATAAGATAATGTGTGCGATACAGGCTTTACCATTCCCTGCAAACGCATACATATATACACACACAGCAAATAGTAACTGAACGGTTTCAAGGGGATTCTCAACAAAACTCTGTCCTTTGAACATCCTCCAACACAGTCCAGTCCAGCTCTCAGGCTCACCCAGAATTTTTTGGTTGTAAGGGACAGATATCTCTCTGCCCACCTCAGTGAGGCCAAGGGCAGAGTGGCACTGCAGCAGGAGCTGGTGAAATCCAAAGACAGAACCGGCCCTTCTGTTGCAGTGCAGGTCTAGCCTCAATGGGGTGTCCACTGTACTGGAGTCTGTGCCATATCATGGCCTCTGCCAAGTGGCTGTCACCTACAAGCTGGCACTCTCCATCTACCTCTCCAAAGATTAAATTAAGAGCCCCTACAGTTGCTGAACTTCAGCATCTTTTGAAAGGAGTTCAGGGTGGCACTCTGCTCTGGAAAAAAACTGGCCGAACAGGTCTTCAAATAGTTAGATATTTTCAGGAGACGATTTTATGGGCCCAATTCTTGCATCTCCTCATTTTTAGAAAAGTGCTAAAATCTGTCATGGTGACATCTTCTCCCACAGTAAACTTCACAAGACTAGCAGAAACCTTCTGCAAAAAAAAAATGTATGTATGTGTGTGTGTGTGTGTGTGTGTGTGTGTGTGTGCATGCGTGTGCTTGGGGGCTTGCCTGATGGTCCAGTGATTAAGAATCCACCTTGCAATGTAGGGGATGCAAGGTTGCTCATCCCTGGTCAAAGAACTAGGATACCACATGAGTCCGTGTGCCCTGGAGCCCATGCAAAACAAAAGATACGATAAAGATCCGACATGCTGCAACCACTGCCCGATGCAGCCAAAGAGATAAATACATACTTCTTAAAAATATGTGCTTGATTGCATGCACTCCCCCTTCACCAAAATCACATGTATACTGATCTCTTTGAAGCTGTTTCTCAGAGCTATCTGAGCACAATCTGAAAGGCTATCTCCTGGATAGGACTCTGGACAGTGTCTTATCCAGTTCACATTCACATCACAAAATACTGCCACTAACCTCAGCCTCTCTGTATCCAATTCCCTTGCCCGCAAAAGTAGGATGTGTTTAGCCGCATTTTCTTTTAGAGTGGGGTCACTGACCAGCCTACAGATGGACCACACCTAGTACTAGAGAAATAGCGTGACTTTGCATAAATATGCTTGTGCCTTTCTGCAGGGCCATGAGCCAAACGGTGCGTGATTTGGGCCAAAGATTCAAGTAGAAGGGGGGGAGGGTGAAGGCTGCACCCCTTTCTTGGATGCTAAAGTTGTAAGCTTTTTTCTTTGATGTTCATTGAGTCCCAGGGGCTACAAAAGCACCCTAAGAGCAAAGCTTTGTAACTGTGGAAGACAAGGCTCCGCTGCATTTTGCAAAAGTTCCATGAGCCTTGGGGAGACAGACACGTTCCTCGGAGCAGAAGCAAGAGGTCTGATAGGGGGAGTGGGGTGGGCTTGCTTTCTGGTACCCTCTAGGTGAGCAGCACCTCTGAGAGCTTAGCCAGGTGCATTCTCCAAACTATCAGGGAGGTGAGAGGACAGACCCAGTTTCTCAGTCCCCCAGAACTAGACCTGAACCCTCAGCCCCTTGCAGTTTGCATGTATTAACTCTGGATAAAAGATTCCAATTCATCAGGAACTATTGATGACCTTGCTAAATCCCATTCTTTCTATGTTTTGGCACATGTGTGTGCACACACGTAGAGATCAGCAAACTGTCTGTGCCCAAACAGTGGCTGATCTTTACTTCCAAACTAGATGTAAAAGAGGCACTGCAGTGGCTGGCAGGGCCATGACTGAGAGTGGGGACGCTTTACACTCTGCATCCTGAACGCCTCCCTTGCCTCACACTAGTCCCAGCACTGCTTCTCGACCTCCTTGACTAGTGGAAATCTCCAGATGTTCACAGCACTGGGTCCTCTTCTCCAGGTACTTGTCATAACTGTAATTCTAACCTCGTTTCTAGGGTGATTTGGCTATCTCCCCTGTTGGACCATCAGCTCCAGGACAGCTTCAGTGCCTTCTTACAGCCAGGTACATATTAGATACAATACATACTTGTTGATTAAATGAAAAAAAGAAAAACTTAGCAAGATGACAAGACCTCTGGAGTAGGCCAGAGTCACCACACTAGGAATCCCCAGAAGGCAGAGCTCCATTCAGTGATTCTAATGGCCCCCAAATGAATGTTACCCAAAATGTCCTCACCATTTTTATAGAGCAATGCTGTGAGAACACAGTCTTGTGTATATAATAAAATTGAGTGTATGTAATAAAATCTGCTCTTGAAAGGAAAAAAAGGCCAAATGCATAAATGTCTAGAGTAGAAAGACAAGAGGCGATGACATTTGTTGGGTACCCGTGATTAGCCAGGTACTGGAAGCTTAGTCACTCAGTCATGTCCAACTCTTTGTGACCCCATGGACTGTAGCCCACCAGGTTCCTCTGTCCATGGGGATGCTCCCAGCAAGAATACTGGAGTGGGTGGCCTTCCCCTCCTCCAGGAGATCTTCCCAACCCAGGGATTGAACCCAACTGTCCCACATTGCAGGCGGATTCTTGTACCAGCTCGGAGGCTTCACCTGGCTGCATTATTTCACAACAACCCAACCACCACATCCTCTTATCTTCATTTTCCAGGCAGCTAAGTATGAGAAATTAAATAATATTTAAAATTTACATGTACCCACCTCTAACCCTTATATTCTTTCTGCAGCATCAATATAGAAGAGGTGTCAAGTGATAAGAAGATTCTGAGTGAGAAGAGAGATAGAATTTGAGATATACTTTAATGTTAGAATTTTAACTGGCATAGACAATAAAAATGTCTGAAAAAAAAAAAACATCGAGGTCTTAGAACAGTTCGCAGCTTTCGTGGGTGTGTTGTTTCATCGTGTCTCAGCCTGAGGCACTTCACTTTGCCCAACCCTCTGCACCTCCTCCCAGCTGATAAGTCCCTGGAAGAATTGCCTGGATTTGTAGTGGCCAACGAACAGTCTCAGATGGTAGAGGGCCTGCTGCTTCACTATCGCTGCAGGGATAGTGAGTCACTTAAAAACTCAGATTCTGTAATAATGTGAAGAGGTTGGACAGTCACACATTGTTGGTGGGAATTTAAGATGGTGTAGTCACTTTGGAAAATAGTTTGACAGTTTCTTTAAAAATTAAGCGTATGCCTAGCATACAGTCCAACTCTTTCACGGCTGCAGTCACCATCTGCAGTGATTTTGGAGCCCAAAAAAATAACATCTGTCACTGTTTCCACTTTTTTCCCATCTAATTGCCATGAAGTGATGGGTCTGGATGCCATGATCTTTGTTTTTGGAATAATAAGATTGACTTACAATGATAAATTTTTTCATTTACCTGTTGATGGGCATTTGGATTGTTTCCAGTTTGAGATTCTTACAGATATAGCTGTTATGAACATTTATGTTCAAGTCTCTGTATGGATATATTTTCATTTCTCTCGGGTTAAAATCTAAAGAAGGATGAGTGCTGAAGAATTGATGCTTTTGAACTGTGGTGCTGGAGAAGACTCTTAAGAGTTCCTTGGACAGCAAGGAGATCAAACCAGTCAATGCTAAAGGAAATTAGTCCTCAGTTCATTGAAAGGACTGATGCTGAAGCTCCAATACTTTGGCCACCTGATATGAAGAGCTGACTCATTGGAAAGGATTTTGATGTTGGAAAGACTGAGGGCATAAGAAGAAGGGGGCAACAGAGGATGAGATGCTTGAGTGGCTCAGCCTTCTTTATGGTCCAGCTCTCACATCTATACATGATTACTGTCTAGATGATACATGATACTATACTGACTAGGTTTGTCATAGCTTTTCTTCCAAGGAGCAAGTGTCTTTTAATTTCATGGCTGCAACCACTATCCACAGTGATTTTGGAGCCCAAGAAAATAAAGTCTGTCACTGTTTCCAGTGTTTCCTCATCTATTTGCCATGAAGTGATGGGATCAGAAAAAAGATTTACTGAGCATGGCCACACCCATCAGAACAAGACCCAGTTTCCCCGTCAGTCAGTCTCTCCCATCAGGAAGCTTCCATAAGTCTCTTATCCTTCTCCATTAGAGGACAGACAGACTGAAAACCACAATCACAGAAAACTAACCAATCTGATCACATGGACCACAGCCTTGTCTAACTCAATGAAACTATGAGCCATGCTGTGTAAGGCCACCAAAGATGGACAGGTCATGGTGGAGAGTTCTGGCAAAACTTGGCCCACTGGAGAAGGGAATGGCAAACCACTTCAGTATTCTTGCCTTGAGAACCCCATGAACAGTATGAAAAGGCAAAAAGATAGGACACTGAAAGATGAACTCCCCAGGTCGGTAGGTGCCCAATATGCTACTGGAGATCAGTGGAGATATAACTTCAGAAAGAATGATGGGATGGAGCAAAAGCAAAAACAACACCCAGTTGTAGATGTGGCTGGTGATAGGAGCAAAGTCCGATGCTGTAAAGAGCAATATTGCATAGGAACCTGGAATGTTAGGTCCATGAATCAAGGCAAATTGGAAGTGGTCAAACAGGAGATGGCAACAGTGAGCATCAATATTTTTGGAATCAGCAGTGAACTAAAATGGACGGGAATGGGTGAATTTAACTCAGATGACCATTATATCTACTACTGTGGGCAAGAATCCCTTAGGAGATATGGTGTAGGCATCACAGTCAACAAGAGTCCAAAATGCAGTACTTGGATGCAATCTCAAAAATGAAAGAATAATCTCTATTCATTTCCAAGGCAAACCATTCAATATCACGGTAATCCAAGTCTATGCCCCAACCAGTAATGCTGAAGAAGCTGAAGTTGAATGGTTCTATGAAGACCCACAAGATCTTCTAGAACTAACAACCCAAAAAGATATCCTTTTCATCATAGGGGACTGGAATGCAAAAGTAGGAAGTCAAGAAATACCTGGAGTAGCAGGCAAATTTGGCCTTGGAGTACAGAATGAAGCAGGGAAAAGGCTAATAGAGTCTTGCCAAGAGAACGCACTGGTCAGAGCAAACACCCTCTTCCAACAACATAAGAGATGACTCTACACATGGACACCACCAGATGGTCAATACCGAAATCAGATTGATTATATCCTTTGCAGGCAAAGCTGGAAAGGCTTAATACAGTCATCAAAAACAAGAGAGCTGTTTTTGGGAGCTGACTGTGGTCAGATCATGAACTCCTTATTGCCAAATTCAGGCTTAAATTGAAGAAAGTAGGGAAAACCATTACACCATTCAGATAAGACCTAAATCAAATCCCTTTACAGTGGAAGTGAGAAATAGATTCAGGGGATTAGATCTGATACACAGAGTGCCTGAAGAACTATGGATGGAGTTTCGTGATATTGTACAGGAGGCAGGGATCAAGACCATCCCCAAGGAAAAGAAATGCAAAAAGGCAAAATGGTTGCCTGAGGAGGTCTTACAAATAGCTGTGAAAAGAAGACCCAGATATCAAATTGCCAACATCCAATGAATCATAGGAAAGGCAAGAGAGTTTCAGAAATATATCTACTTCTGCTTTATTGACCATGCCAAAGCCTTTGACTGTGTGGATCACAATGAACTGGAAAATTCTTCAAGAGATGGGAATACCAGACCACCTGACCTGCCTCTTGAGAAATCTGTATGCAGGTCAGGAAGCAAGAGTGAGAACTGGACATGGAACAACAGACTGGTTCCAACTAGGGAAAGGAGTACATCAAAGCTGTATATTGTCACCCTGCTTACTTAACATATATGCAGAGTACATCATGAGAAACGCTGGGCTGGAAGAAGCACAAGCTGGAATCAAGATTTCCAGGAGAAATATCAATAATCTCAGATATGCAGAAGACACCACCCTTATGGCAGAAAGTGAAAAAGAACTAAAGAGCCTCTGGATGAAAGTGAAAGAGAAGAGTGAAAAAGTTGGCTTAAAACTCAACATTCAGAAGACTAAGATCATGGTATTCAGTCCCATCACTTCAGCAAATAGATGGGGAAACAGTGAAAACAGTGACAGACTTTATCTTTTGGGGCTCCAAAATCACTGTGGATGGTGACTGCAGCCATGAAATTAAAAGATGCTTGCTCCTTGGAAAGAAAGTTATTACCAATCTAGACAGCATATTAAAAAGCAGAGACATTACTTTGCCAACAAAGGTCCATCTAGTCAAGGCTATGGTTTTTCCAGTGGTCATGTATGGAAGTGAGAGTTGGACTATAAAGAAAGCTGAGCACTGAAGAATTGATACTTTTGAACTGTGGTGTTGGAGAAGACTCTTGAGAGTCCCTTGGACAGCAAGGAGATACAACCAGTCCATCCTAAAGGAGATCAGTCCTGGGTGTTCATTGGAAGGACTGATGTTGAAGCTGAAAGTCCAATACTTGGGCCATCTGATGTGAAGAACTGACTCACTGGAAAAGACCCTGATGCTAGGAAAGACTGGAGGTGGGAGGAGAAGGGGACAACAGAGGATGAGATGGTTGGATGGTATCACCAACTCGATGGATAAGAGTTTGAGCAGGCTCCAGGAGTTGGTGATGGACGGGGAGGCCTGGCATGCTGCAGTTCATGGGGTCACAGAGTTGGACACGACTGAGTGACTGAACTGAATGAACTAATGGGATCAGATGCCATGATCTTTGTTTTTTTAACACTGACTTTTAAGCCATCTTTTTCACTCTCCTCTTTCAACCTTCATCAAGAGGCTCTTTAGTTCCTCTTTGCTTAATGTCATAAGGGTGATGTCATCTGCATATCTAAGATTATTGATATTTCTCCCAACACTCTTGATTCCAACTTGTGCTTCATCCAGCCCAACATTTTGCCTGATGTACTCTGCATATAAGTTAAATAAGCAGGGTGACAATATACAGCCTTGACATACTCTTTTCCTGATTTGGAAGTAGTCTGTTGTTCCATGTCTGGTTCTAACTGTTGCTTCTTGACCTGCATACAGGTTTCTCAAGAGGCAGATAAGGTGGTCTGGTATTCCCATCTCTTGAAGAATTTTCCACATTTGTTGTAATCCACATAGTCAAAGGCTTTAGCATAATCAAA